TCTTAATTGAGCTTACAATGGGTAGATTGAGGTCTAGAAGGAACAAATCATTGAAGATCGTCTCCCGTTTATTCAGGACGTGTTCCCCAAGGAAGATCGTTTCTCCTTATCCTTGTCTAGACCATCATATCCATTGATCTCAGCTTATGTTAACTTGATGTCCACATCATCTTGTTTATTTGAAACTTACTACGTAAATAATTGAAAAACATTGGGATGTATATGATATTTGTTTTTTAGCGATCCGAAGTACAGAAAAAAAAATAAAAAAATAAGACTAAACTATGTTTTTGTTCAAAATGTACCATTACTAGATTTTATTTTCTTCAAAAATACTACTGCAAACGTTTTAGTCTAAAAAAAACCACAAACATTGAAAATATTTTTAATGGTTTATAGTTAAAAAATTTGGGTTTGGGTTTAGCTAGGGTTGAGTTTCTAGGGTTTAGAGTTTATGGTTTATTTGTTATAGTATCTTCAATGTCCACTTCTATTCTTTCCTCTACTTTAGAGTTTATTTTGCTCCAATATATGCCTCTAAAATAGAGTTCATTCTAAAAAAGAGTAATCCAATATTCATCTTTTTTTTTCTCCATTTTAGAGACATACATTGGAGTAAAATAAACTCTAAAATAGAAAAAAAATATAGAGGTGGACATTAGAGATTTAAAGTTTATGATTTAGTTTTGAAGGTTTAAAGTTTAGTTTTAGTTTTGTGTTATTTTCGGAAAATAAAATCTCTTAGTAGTATTTTTGAGAAAAAAAGTAGTGATATTACTTTTGGAACAAAAACTTCTTTCAGTGGTATTTTTTAGAATTGCCAGTAAATAATATTATGTTGACAAAAGAATATTATACCAAACGAACATGTACTTATTTTAGAGTATTTCTTCAAGATGTGTGGTTGGATTCTATGTGATCTAATGTTTTTGGTGTTTTTATTTTTTTCCTTAACTCAAATATATTATACTTCATTTGGTGATCTAAAAACTAAGACCATTCGTTAGGTAAGAAAAAATAAGTATCATCCATATTAAACCAAAAGAATAATATGTTGATTGAATTAAAAATATAAAATTTTCAAAAATTTACTACACTAAATTGAGTTTTAGAAAATAGAGTATAACTCAAATCTAGATTGTATGGAAACTCCGTCTAAAGTTCTATGTCTGTTTCTCGTTTTGAAACATGTCTAAATCGAAAAACTTTTGAAAACATGACAAAACATAGCGAAAACACGATTTCTAAAATATTTCAATTTAGAAATGGGATGAACTCTTGTCTTGTTTATTTGGAAACTTAATAACTAAATAATTTGGAAACATAGGGATGTATATGGTATTTTTGTAACTTAAAATACCTAAATAATTTGAAATTTTTATATCATTTATATTTATTTTCTTTTCTAAGAAAAATATCAATATCTATGCTCAAAAGAATCCATAATTGAATGCAAAAAGTTGCATTGTTCCCCCGCTTCTGTTCACGAAATAAAGACGCATGTACCCCTATATGGATGAGTTTGAACTTTGGTAGATCATAGGTTTATATTTTGTCAGACGGCACTAGAAGATTTGTATACATATATTGTTTGGGGAGATGTGTAACAAGAATGTTTTTTATTTTAAATATCATGAGAAATCTGATCGTTATCTTCTTTAATGGTTATATCAAGAGGTTGTACCTGCTTTGTTGTTGATAACAACGAGGTTAGTCTGTAATTGATTTATGCCGATAATTGAGTTTAAGTGTGTATATGTTTGGTTAGTGAATGATGTTTTTTTTTTTTGGCATTCATCGATTTAGGATGATCACGTTGTCAATGTTGGTGAAGATCTTGGTACCCATAAAAATATAAACAATAATCATGAGGTTAGTCGATACTGAGGCAATGCGTGAATATTTTTGTTACTTCTATATCATTTGGTTCCCCTATGATATGTGACATGATGAACTTTCTACGGAGGTTTGTGATGAAGTTGGCCTTCAGCCTAATGCGAACGATAACAACTAGGTTAGTTGATAATTGGATTACAATAGTCAACTGTTTGTTATCTACATTTTCGTATCCGTCTACAATTTTAAGAGGATAGATAGGTTAAAATGATGGTAGCTGATAATTTAGTTAGTGTTGATATATATTTGGTTAGCACTCCTAAAGTTGATGAAGTTTGTTATCTCTGTAATGTTTTCGTTACTTATATCTCACTTTTTTTTTTTTTGCTATGCCTTAGGGTGTTTCTAGTACAAATGTTGGTGATGATATTGGCCGAAAGATAAACGTAGACGATAATAACGCAGTTAGTCGATAAGTTATTCTGTTTTATTGTCTTTTCTTTTTGTCTCTGATTTTCAATAAAGGCTTCATATCTTTGCTACACAACTAAGGATCTTCATGTTTTGTAAGGGTATTTTCGTCTTAGTTATGAAGCATATACACTTAATTTTTCATTTGTTTGAGCATACATATTTAACTCAGTCTTCTTCTAATAGCTAAATGTCTAGACTAGAAAAGCTGATGAGAATAAAAATGAAAGCAATGACTTAAATCCTTGACTTTGAACGTTATGATCTATGATTTATATTAAAATTATTTAAAATGTACTGAAATTTATGTATTAAAGTTATGTTGTTCCAAACTTTATTATAACGTTGGGTCATCTTGGGATAAAGATAAACGGTTGGGAGGGGTTGCGTGGGTGTTAAAGAATTCAAGAGGTATTGTTCTCTTACACAACAGAAGAGCTTTTGGGTTGATTGATTCTAAGGATGATGCTTATCTCCAAAGCTTCCTTCGGGCATTTGAGAGTATGCAGAGCCTACATACATGTCCAAAAGTTATTTTTTCCCTTGAGTTAATGTTTTGGTTGGTGCTGTCAATTCACCCGCAACCTGGCCAAGTTTTAAAGCTCAATCTATGGAACTTCTCCTTACTTTATGCAGGATTCCAAATTAAAGAGTGGTACTTGAAGAGTCAAAGGCTAATTGTGGAACTTTTCTTATTGCAAATTAAAGAGTGTCACAAGGGAGGATCGAGGTCAACCATATGTAGTTCAAGGCTACCCTTTTTGGCTACAAAATGTGTTTGAATTTGAGAAATGCATTACAAAGGTGTAATGTTTGTCTATAGATGATTGTCTCTGATCCCTTTTTGTAATGTGATGATCACTTTAGTTTTTATTCAATGAAACATTTAGACAAAAAGAAAAGAAAAATGAGGATTTGATAAGATTTCACGATTAGGGTTTCTTCATGAGTCCCGTCTCATTTCATGATGAGGTCTAGGCCTGGGCAAAATAACCGAACCACAAGAACCGAACCGGAACCGAAGCAAAAAGAACCGAACCGGAACCGAACCGAAATTTTAAAATACTCAAATGGATCCTAAATTTTAGAACCGAAAGAACCGGAACCGGAACCGAACCGAACCGAAATATTTCGGGTACCCAAAAATACCCGAAATATGAGTTTATATCTAAAAATATTAGTTATTTTTAGATCGAATAACTAAAAATACCCGAAATACCAACAAATATTGGAAAATATATCAAAAAATACTTAAAATATCCAAAAAGTACTCAAAAATATCCGAAAATACCCAAAAATATCCAAAATACCTAAAAATATCCGAAATAAAATATCCGAATGGATCCTAAACTTCAGAACCGGAACCGGAACCGAAACCGAACCGAAATTGTTTGGTTCCTATATGGATCCTAAAATCTAGAACCGAAAGAACCGGAACCGAACCGGAACCGGACCAGAACCGAACGGGTACCCGAACGTCCAGGCCTAATGAGGTCCATGGCAAAACTCAAAATAAAATAAAATCTATTACTAAATTCTTTTTTTGGAAAATTTGGGGCTTTTAGCCTTAATAAATTTTCTTAAATTGATAATGGACTCTGAGCATTTGGCTACCTTGCCACCCCCAGAGACATCTCATTGGATTTATGCGTGTTAACGGACGATTTCAGTTGAAAAAGTGGGAATTTAGTGATTTAAGTTTTGACTGAGATTAGGAGGGTTAAGATATCGTGGTTTGGTTCTATTTGTGGGAGAGGAAGATGAGAATTGCAAGTGTTGTTATGGTTATTGGCTATGAGACTTGTCTCTAGTGTGAGCTGAAATGGTGGTAGATACTTTGTTTAACGTCTTGGCTATGGAGAAGCATCACCCTTCTACTCTCTTGTCTATGGATTCAAATGCTTCTTCTCATGAGGAGCTTGATTTGGAGATGAATAATAATAATCGGCAATCTCTGCTCTCTTGCCTTGGATTTTGGATGCTTGCAACCTTTTGGAAGTTGGGTTAGGTTCACAAGCTTATATGACTGAGAATCACATGAGTGTTGTGCCTAAGGTTGGGCGGAAATGAGCTAAACGGGTTGATAGTATCTAGGGTGCTTGTTTTTCTTCAGTTTCTACTTCAAGCAAAGGCAAAAATCGTCCGGGATATCTTGGTTTGATAAGTCAGATTTGAAGCTTGATTTGTTTCTACTTCAAGCTTGATTTCTCCATAAGGTTAGCACGTTATGGAGAACATGTATATGTGGATATTTAAGGAAAGACCTGAGAAAGCACTCGGGAAGATGCAATTGAGGAGTTACATGATCATGAACGTGCATTCTAGACAAGGGGATTGTCTTCGTCTGTTTCCATTTAGTGTTGAGAAAGAGTTTGTTAGGTCTCACAGAATGTAGAAGAAACACTACAGAGGTTTGTCAAATCCATAGTGTGTTCATGGGATTGAGCTTGTTCCTTTGTCAAACCTCACGTGTAAGAAAGAGAGGAAAAGGTGGATGGAGCTTACGGGTCGCTATTTGAATTCCACCATTCCACCTGAAGTTAGCGACTTTGGTATAGAGAAACCTTTCGAACACTGAATTTGAGCTTGAGAGGCCTACACCTTCTTTGAAGAATCCTACTGCAAGCCACTCTAAGAAAGTACTCAGTGGATTAGGGTTCAATCTCTCTACTGAACTATCCAACCATTCTAATGGTGAAGCAACCGATTTATCTCCCTCGAGCCACAAGAAGAGGAAGGACTTGTTCTCAAATGTTATTCATGAAGAGTGTTGCTTATCGTAAACCCACCATCTCATGTTATCGAAGCTCACTCGTGGAGGAACACTTTCACACACGGATCATAAAAGTTTCATGCCTCAGCACATCGCATATACCTTTCATAAAGAGACATGATAGAACATTCAAGTTGATCGATTCAGTCTCCGGGCATTGCCCACCAGGTGAATTTGTCAGAGAGATCTTGTTATCAACCTGAATCCCGGAAGATGCAAACGTTGAAGCGTATTACGATGGACCTAGATCAGTTCTTCAGATATTTGTTTCGAAACTAAGAGCTGGCCCGGAAGAGCACGATGTGCGGGTGTGTCTCCGTCCTAATCTCGGCGGAAACAATCTTATGCTAACTTAGTAAGAGAAATATAATTTCAGGCTACTGATTGAGATCAAGCAAAAGCTGTCCAAGTGCATCCAAATAGAGAGGTATATTCAAACACTCTTGACCATCGGAGATGAGAGTTCAAAGTCACTTGACTGGTCACAAAGAAGCGTTCCCGAGAGGTTGACTACAGATCATCAGTGGGCAATGCCGTCTTCATCTAGGTGTGAAAGTTGGTAGTCAGCAAGAATCTTGAAGACATTTTGAGCATTTGGTGTTAAACTCCGTAAGACAATGGCTGCTGTTTTGGCGGTTTGGGATGTGCTTCTTTGTGCAAGAACCAACAGGAAGAATACAACTTCGATATTGTATGGTGAAAATGTTGGAACATGGTGCCATAGCTAGTTGAACTGTGTGTGTACCATTTTCTTGTCCCTCACTGCCAACAGATACAAGAAACATTGCCTCAGGTCAAAGAAGCAGTACAGAATATCTAAGAAGAGTAGAAAGAATTGAAATACAACTTATCCATGATAAGCAATTAGCATGAGAGATAGGGATATAGAATACTGCTTACATAATGGAGCGTTGCCACGGTCAATAGAGACAACCATTCGTTTGTGTGAATAAGAAGCAAGCCGGGCAAGAGTTTGTTGTGATTCAGGATCTCTTAGAGCAGGGCCGTCAATGTTATGAACAACAACGCATATGAAGTAGTCTTTATCTTCAAACTGTGGACCATGTAGAAAGGAAAGAATATCATCCATGGAGCGTGAAAGAAATGTTACTTGACCTTTAGACAAACTCCTAGAACTCTTTCTTTTACATGTCAAAAGCTCGGACATAATATCAATTAATGCTAAAAGAACCTGAATTTGCAACATAGAAAAGAAGATTTTGTTATTACTTACTTAAAACTAAATCTTTTTCAACCTGAAGAACATGAAGCAGTGCGAGATAAGAAATTGCTGCATCCAAACTGAAAAAGCATGTTTTAGATTTACGGAAAGAAGGTAGCCATTGATGACCACAACAGAATACTCAGTCAAAGAAGCAGAAGCAAATTCTTCAATTAAAGCTTTCTTAGATCCAAAACCATATATTAGAAGGCCAAAGCCATACCTGGAAGCAGAAACATGAAATGAGAACACACAAAAATATGATGACTCAGATGGAACATAGGTGTCTAACTTCTAGAGGAGAAATAGAGGAGAAGGTCCACACTGAATGTCTTTAATGACTATGGAAACACCAGAAGTATAGACAAAGCTTGTTATATTACTTTGAATAGTTTCTACCATGAGTAATTTTCAGATTCTTATATCTAGAAAATAGGAGCATATGCTTGTTGAAAGCAAGAGACTTTCTAACCTGAGCTCAAAGACCCACTTTGGGTATATACACTACAAGAAATATCCACATTGATAGCAAGAGAGAAGAGCTATTATATGTCATCAATAGCGTTTTCATAAACGCTGTCTTATGCCCCTGTTATGGTAGACCCCCATATACGATGACGTTTTTAGAATGTTATGATAGACCCCCACATACAATAGCATTTTCATATTATAGCATTAATCGAATGCTATAATATACTTTATTATAACACACGTTTAGTGCTGTTTTATATTATGTAGTAACATTTTTTTCGTTATATAAATAAATTATATTGGAATCCAATTTTTTAAAAAATTTATTTAATTGGACCTATATATAAAACTTTTATATTTTATTAATCATCAACAAGTAATATTACATTAACTAATTAGCCAAACAAGTCTTACATAACATCACACCAAGTCTTATACTAACATCATAAGTGTTAAACAAAATAGAACTAACATCATAAGTGTTAAACAAAATAGAACTAACATCATAAGGACATAGACAAACTTCGATCTCTTCAATTTCTTCTCCTCTATCTATTTCGCCTCCTCATCAACAACAAAACACATAAAACTTCAATCTGAACAATAGTTCCTATTAGCACTCCCGTCTAGGCTACATGAAACAAAAGAACAAGGGGACAAAAGACACCATCTTAGAACTCTTATTCACTAAGATGAAAAAAGAATCGACACATGGGAATACATCTACCAAACATACACATATGTAAACTACGTACTTGGTTAGCTTGGACATAATCATGATAGCCTTGGAATTAAGCTAATATGGAATTTAAAACTTGAAGAAACGTCTTACCACTTAAGCTCCTGCAACCACATGCAAGCTCCTTCTCCGAAACAATTTATTCTGCAAAACCAAAAACCAATTAAATAAATCGAGAAGAAGGTTGATTTGCAGATGAGAAGAGTAAGTGTCTTAGTAAGTATCACCAACAAACAATTTATTCTTAGAAAATTAGCTTAATAAAGTCAAGAATCAGAATATACTACAATAAAAATACACATTACAGTCCCAATAGAATATATACAGAAGAATAAAAAAAGAGAGATTAAGAACATACATACCCATTCCAAATATGGCCCAGGATAACAGCAACAAGCTGCAATTTTTCGGAGAAAACATTACTCAAGATTACCTCAAGGTCATCAAGCTCAAGCTGGTCTAATCTCTCAGCCTCTAATCTAACCCTATCAGAATATCTGCCATGTACAAACAATAATGAGAGAGGAAGCCTTGGCTTTTTAATCAAATGCTTAAAATGGTATACTATTGAAGAGAAACAGAACATTTCTATTACCTCATGTATAATTCCATGAGCCAGTCAATCTTCTCAAATTCATTCTCCACAAATTTACTTAACAATCGATCTCTCCTAGAACCCCTTAAAATCCCAGCTGATAGATACAGCCAACCGCCAAAGAACCAAAGAATTAACATCCAGAACATGCAAGGAAAACATAGTTTACTTTACATAAACATATGACTTGCCTTCTTACCAAATAATGACGCAATCAGGGAAATAACCCGCTCCTCTAGCTCCTCCTCATACCGCTCCCTTTTGATCCTCTTGCTTAGCGGAATCTAAACATTCAAAGAACTAGACAAAATCAAAATGCAAGTATGCCTCAGAATCGCCTCTTTCACATTACTTTGATCTACTACGCAAGCATTTTCTAACAAAAGATACAGACTTCCATACCCAATAAGCCACTAGAGAGTTTATAAAGATGGTAAGAGGGAACGGGATTGAAAAACTTGCCTAACCCATGAAAGCAGCAAATGCTGTCTTCAGTCCCATAACATCCACAAACCTCTGACATGCTGGTGGATAATTGGTCATGGCAAAGTCTAGAGCTCGAATTGCAGACCCGTAAGCATATTTCTTCTGCTTCATGATTATAATCATCAGCTCAACACCTTCCGCATTCACAAACCTCTCCTTGTTCTCCAATGGCATCAAGAGGCAACACAAACAATCAAATAAATTAGCTAACATCTCTTCCTCACCAGGAGTTTTAGGATCCTGCGACTTATTCATCGCCACACCTTCAAGCACAGCGTCTACACCATTCATCTGACCCAGCCGTTTCTGATTCGCCGTGCTGTTTTGCACAGAATTGCAAGAATCTCAGACGCATACTTCTTGATTCCTTCAAATTCCCTCACCTTAATCTTCGTCAGAAGCCAAACGCGATCCAAATTCACCATAATCCAAATCCCAAACTCCACTCACTGTTCAAATCCGAGAACGCCGAGCCTGAAATCTCAATCTTAAACGCGAGCCCACCACACAGAACTGTCAATCCACGAGGAGAATCAGCGACGACATCGGCGGCTAGGGTTTTGAGATGAGAGGAGATGATTCTTCTCCACATGGTGATGGTGACGAATGGAGGCCGGCGAAGAGTTTCGTGGAGTCTATAGATCTAGGGTTTTTTTTTTTGTCGTACAAAGAAGGGTAACTTTTTTTGACTTTGGTATATATGATGGCACTAAAAATTTTTAGATCTGAGATATATGGTTCTTAAATGGATTTTTTTCGTAAGTATTGACAAAATAAGTGATTTTAGTTTCATGTGTAGTGAGTTTTTATCTTAACGTTATTTCAGTGTTATTATATAGTAATCAAAATAAAACATTCATCTTTCATAACAGTTACGGAAAATGAGCTATCTTCATGTGCTATCAATGTGGATATTTCTTGTAGTGATAGTCTTGTAATCACTCATAAGCTCAAATACCTCTTTGGCGTGCTTCATTTCAATTGTAGATGATGTTTCTCTAATCTCCTGAAAACACATAATGTTTCTCCAACAACTTTTCAAGAAAAGCATTTATCACCAAAAGCATAATTTGGATGAGAAATATCCAAAAATCACATGCTCATCAACAATATGTACATCAGAGAGCTTGTGGGCCGACGACTTACTTGCCCCACCCAATTCTTGTGCCAAAAAGTAGTTTCTTGAGAACCCATACTCATCTTCTTCTATGTCTTCCATTTTCGTGGAACAAAAAACAGAACAATACGACCTTAACTAAATTCATATGTAGGAAGGAGTCTCCTCAGATCAGAGCTATAACCAGAGAGGATTACAGAATTTTCCGTGTTCTAAGTAGGAAACTAACAACAGAACAAATGGCTAAATAGTCCTCTTCATCTATATACCTTAATTCAACAGAAAAACTTGAATTCTTAACTAACAAACTAAAATACCAATCAGAAAGACGATATGATTTCTAAACATTTAACTTAACATGAACATTTTGATAATCAAAACGATATCATACTGAAATTTCGACAAATCAAAAAGTTACCAAAATTTCCAAAAATAACATGTAGCAGAATTTCAATTAAATCATACAATCAGATCTAGTTAAAATAATCATGGTATTTGCAGAAAAGTGATAACTTTAGGGATAGTTGACAAAAATTAACAACTATCTCTGTTTTCACTACAAATGTTTTCACTTGAACAATGCAATGCAAAGTCAATATGTCAGTAATTGATATACACACATTTCTAAGCTCATCTCTCTAAACACCATAAATTGAGTTCCAAACATAGACCCACAAAAGCCTTATCTGATAAAGCAATAAACTTTGTAATTAGAGGGAAGAAAGATTGATACCCCTTTATGAGAATTGGGACGAGGAGCTAGCTCGTGTGTGGTGACGACGCAACGAACAAACCGGTCTTCACTGCTGGACTTGTCATTTTTCACCTGCAATAGCTCAACGGTTCACATTGACTAAGTTAAGAAATTGATTTTGAAATCTAAACAATGGTAACGAAGAAGAGAGAGTTTGATCAAAATCACATACCTGCTATGGACGTTGGTTTAAGCTTGAACATAACTTGAGGTAGAAGCTATCCAAGTCATATATAGATTAGGATTGTAATCTTTAGGAGTTATCTAAAGATATATATAGGAGTTAGCTAAATATATCCTAATTAGAATAGGACTTGGATAAGTGTTTTAATATATAAGGAGATATCAAAGTTGTGATATAACTTATGAGTTTAAGAGTTTTAAAGAGATTAAGAAAGCTTTAGATTTTAAGAGATTTTCCTAAAGAAATAAAGAGATTCTTTATATTTGTTCTTAATCATATCTCTAAAATAAGTATTGGTATCAGAGCGGTTTCGCAGTGAAGATCATAAGGTAGACAATAAGTGAAATTGCGGTAATACCGGACAAAGCAGGAGGCGGAGGCGGACCCTCTTCGATATAATGCCCCATGCTCAATTCAACTAACTACATTGTATGGACCATAAAGATGAGGAGTACACTCATGGTTCATAAGGTTTGGGAAACCATAGAGGCAGGTTCAACCGACAGCGAGAAGAATGACATGGCCACGGCCTTTTTGTTGTTTCAATCTATACCTGAAGCTCTTGTCCTGCAGGTTGGCGAGCTTGATATGACAAAGAAAGTATGGGAAGCCATTAAAGTAAGACATGTTGGAGTGGAGAGAGTCAAAGAAGCCCGACTACAAACTCTAATGGCTGAATTTGATCGACTTAAGATGAAAGACTCCAAGAAAATTGATGACTTTGCCGGGAAGTTATCCACGATCTCATCAAAATTAGCCGCCCTAAGAGTAAACATTGAAAAGCCAAAACTGGTTAAGAAATTTCTTAAGCGTCTTCCCCAAAAGAAGTACATACAAATTAAGGCTTCTCTTGAACAAGTATTAGACCTTAATACTACGAGTTTCAAAGACATCATCAGACGCCTTAAGGTTTACGAAGAACGTGTCTTCGAGGAAGAAGATGTTCAAGAAGATCAAAGCAAACTTATGTACGCAAACATGGAGACTCAAACAAACTAATACAGCCGAGACTTCAATGGAAACTTTAGAGGTAAAGGTCGAAGAGGACGCTCGTATTATAGGGGCAGAGGCTGCGAAAGGTTTAATGGAGGAAGAGATACATCGAAAGTAATGTAGTAAACAGTCGAAATTTCAAATAGAACTATGGTGACCTTGTAAAAAGATCTTTTCTTCGTTTGAGTGTACCTTTCCTATGACTATTAATCTTGATGAAATCCGTGAAGTTTTGACCTTGTTTTAGAAGCTTTCTTTGGCATTGAGTGAATATTGGTATCACTACCCTTCCTTATCTTCTTATTTTATTCATAGGAATAGAAAGCACGATTAAACAATTTTTCAATGGCAAGTGCCGGTCGTCGAGTGGCTGAACCAAACCCTACGGCGGATCCACATGTACTGATGAATGCCAACCATCCTTTATCGAGTAGCCTTGACTATTCCAAAACCCTTGCTGATTCGATAGCCTGAAATAGATCGACCACGATTTTGATTTTTGACTGCCTATGCCTCTAACGATGCTTCGGGCAAACTGTAACTAACTAGGTGCCCTACTCCTACCCCCCTGTTCTCACCTTCATCTCTGCTCCCTCCGCTCCAGCTTGCTCTATTACCTATGTAATCACAGCTCAGTAATGGACTGCTGAACTAAAATGGATAGCTACTGGGAGAATTGCTACTGATGAATCGCAATCAGCTGCTGATTCCCCTACCGTTGGATTCGTGCCTCAAGACTTTGGACTCGGTCGAAAGAATCTACTGCGGCCTTCTCCACCCACCTTTATGAAATTCTAACCCAACCAGCCATGACAAGACTTAATTTATTAGAACTCGTTGTTGTTTAGAAAGATGTGTTATTCCTGTGAAAGTCTCGTTTTTGACTCAGTTTTTTTTGGCATTGTACACGGACTTTGCTGCGACGAGGGTGGGGGCAGATCGAATCGGAGTTTCCTTAGGTAGCCACTGACCTACAATTATCCTTAAACTTTCGTGCTTGGTGGAGAAGAAGCGAACAAAGGTACGCTTGCTTGCTTTCTTGTTCTCTGCCGCAAACTGGGATCGCTCGCCAGCTAGGTTAGATTGAAGCAACATTTTTTTAGAACATATTACCCATCTCGGGGACAAGGGGAGGAACGACCTCTCGATCTACTTACAGCAGCCCAGGAATAAAAATGTCGTCTAGGCGTTCCCTCTTGCTCCGATCTACCCTACGCCTAGGACGTTGTATGGGCCAAGAGTCATAGTTAGTTGTTGTTTCCATTTGGTTGTTTTTTTCTCGTTGTTGATTCCGACAAGACCCAGCCAGATGATGTCTGCTGGTTGGTAGTGAGAGGAATCTTAGTATCGGCATACTCAAAAGGAGGCGCTAATTAAAAAACAAGAATTTGATTTTCTTTCTTGCTCTCCCTTAGCAGCGGGAAAGGAGTCTATCTATCTGCCTAGCTTTGGTAGATTTCCCCTAACGCAATTCACAGAAATTCCACGAATCCCTTGGTGGATAAGTCCGACGACTCAGCAGCAGTGCGGAATTGAGTTTCTCGTCTGGTGGATCTGATCTATAGTTATAGGGCAATACATACCAAAAGTTTCGAAGAAAGAGTCGTTAAACCGAGAAAGCTAAAAATTGGCCTTTTCATCAAAAATAAAGAAGGGAGTTTTCAAGGTGTTAAGAATCGATTGAAGCACCCCTGGACTTCTATTCGATAGAGTGATCGAATCGGGCGCTATGGACTTAAAAGCCTCGAGGGTTGTAGGGCACAAGGGAATCTTGAATCAATTCCCTCTTTTCCAGTATTTGGACAAGCGGTTTGAGTCAAGTGCCAGTTATAGAACTAATTGTTGGCAAGAGTCACAAATAAGAAGTAAACGACTTGATCTCTTCTAGAAAGTGACTTTTACCAAATAGAGTCTCCTTCCGTATAGGGAGCTCTCGTAGCGCTTAGTGTAGTAAGGGCCTTCTGCTTTTTTTTTGCTTTCATTAGCCTGAGAGGGCATATTAAGAATGCTTATACAGGGCAACTATAAGGATTATAGAGAATGAGAGGGGCTCACTTGACCAGAGTGCCGAGCATTGTTCGTCGTGCAAGTTCCACTACTCTAGTTCTAGTGTGATCTACGCCTGTTAGAATGCCAGGCTGTAATGGATTGGACTATGTGAATACTTCTTTCTAGGGAAAGAAGGATATCGTATCGGGTTTGACCCGCTCTCTTCAGGTGTTTGCAATTCCTGTGGGAACCGCACCGCTTGAAGCCTTTGTATCTACATAATGAGAAGCCCTCTTTTAGTAAAGCTTCTCTTAATCGGCGACTTTCGCGAATGCATTCTATCAACAAAGAATCCCCTGAGTTAGCAGCCTGCACCACTTATCTAGCCGGTGTTTGCTAGGTTTATTGAGCTACCTCACTACTGCTTTCACTGGAAGCGGCTTAGCTTGTGTTATGCGTAAGACATCTAGATTGGCAGGGTAAGAGCTGCCCTTGACTCTCTCTCAGTTATGAGAATGTCATTTTGCTAGGAAGACGATCTTTAGCAGAAGCTTTTTGACCAGTTATTGTCCGA